AAAGAATTTCAAAAAAAAATAATATCTTCTTTTTAAGAAATCTGGTTGCAGTCAAAAATATTCAGATTACTACTGCATAAAATTTTTCTGCGTGAAAACCAGGAAAAGTGCAATACTGCACTGTAATAAGATGAAATAAATTCCAAGGTTTAAGAGGCCTCTATTATTGGTATTAGGGCAATAAAAGAAGAGGGAAGTTTGCCATTAAAATGAAATACTTACCAAATGCCATATTGGAATATGGAGCTAGACAGGGAAATTGTAGCCTCATTTTTTATTAATATATTACACAAGGATAGTACCTTATTGAGAACCTATTTCTATTCATATAATCATTATTTGATCACATAACTTTAATGCAGCCATGATATCAATAGCAATGATAAGCTAATAATCATTTTATAAGATAAGCCAGGATAACGCTTTGAATAATGCATCGGAAGCCTGGTCTATATGCTCAAAATTAAATAATAAGGTGTAAATAAATTGTTGACTCCAACAAAATAAATGAGAAACCTAATTTGAAAATAAGTGAGAAACTTATTTGAAAATGAGTGACCTATGGTTGACCATATGATTGTGAAGTGACTTGTGGTTGACTTATGGTCGTAGTTGAAGGAAAAAAGGTATTCAAAAGCGAAGCTATCTAATACTTAAAATCATGGCACGCCGACTATCTAAGACTCACTATTAATATATTATATCGAACAGACAGGTTTGGTCACTATATCAACTTTTAAAGTTATGACTTGTTTTCATCACCAAACAAAGCCTACTTGTGAGTTGTGAGGAAAACCATGGAAGCATATTTGGCTGACAACTCCTCAGGCAGGTGGAAAAGACCAATGATGAGACAAGTTAGCCGTGAGGGTCTTTGCTGGGGATCGGTATCACTATACAAAGCGTCGCGACTTCCTGGGTGCAAGCAAACAGCCGAAGTAGAATTGGCGTTTGGAGCAATAGAAGGATTTGTAGTTGCCACTTCTGCAATTGCAGAACGGAGAGTCGTGAATCGAGCTGATGGTTCTTGGCTCCCTGAAGCGATAGCTTCTTCCTCAGCCAAAATAACTGCTTGCATGACAGTGCGCAAATTAGCTAGCTGGCGTCGGCAGCTGCGTACACGCAGCTCCAGACGCTCTGACAATTCTGCAAAATCGCGTCGATACCGACTGGTCAGCTTATGTCCAATCAGCTCGCGTAGTAGTCTATCGTCCAAATGATAGTAACTGCAAAGGCGCCAGGTTTTGTGTGCAAAAAGGGAAATTTGAGTAGAATATTTTTACCTTTTATTTCTCGTATATGCATAGTCAGGGTATTGAAATATTAGCTTGATGTTAAATGAATGAAATCACGTTTTTACGATACATTTATAAACACTCAAATATAACGCAAAATTTTCATAGATGTAGTCTTACTAAATTTAAGGAAGTGGGGAGTAACTTTACTTAGCCCGAAATATTTCTTAAGGCTGACATTGAAAAGTAGCTTTACGTATCTTTAGAAACTTTCGGTTGATTGGGATAAACTTTTTTACTCAAAATGTATTCTACTATGTAGAATTTAGCTTATGATCGATGACACCATATTTTCCCCAATGGATATGCAAATAGGATATTTAATGGCCCTGGTAAATGATGAAATGTTATGTGTATAGTGCTAATTTGACCATGCTTTCGCAACTTGTTCTGAGCGACAGAGACCTTGGGGAATGTACCCAATTCTTCGACCTCCGCCATAGTATTCATGATGACTTCCAGCATAGACCCATTTACATGGTGTCAATGTATTAAGGTACTAAGTCAACGGTTCGATGCTGGAAATCATCATGAATACTATGTCGGAGGACGGAGAACTGGATACGTTCCACAAGGTTTCTCTGTCGCTCCGACAAATTTGCAAAAAC